ACTCTCGTCTTTCGGAAAAACTAGAGTCCCTTTGTACTGTGAGTCAAGACAATGTGAATCCATTTCTGATTGGTTCCCGTACAGTGGAAAAAAAAACACATTGGATCTAGAGTCAAGACTCTTGAAAACATTGACAAGAAAAAATACTCGTGATTCAACCAGATTTTTGCTTAAATCAAAAGGTAATCCGCTTAAATTAAGAGGCTTGGTTTTTTATTTAAGCTAAAATCCGATTGAATCAAGAGTATTTTTTCTTATCGATGTTTTTAAGAGTCCGGACTCCAGATCCGATGTTTTTTTTCCAGTGTATTTTAGGACTTCACAGTGTCACAAACGGGAATAAATATTACATTTTCACCAATTATAAAGATTATAATCTGGAATGGACCGGGGAATCACGGGTTCGGCAAGGAACAAACGGAATGAGAGAAGGAACGGAGGAAGGAATTTGAGAATGGGCCGATCAAAGATTACGAAAAACTTTCAATTTGCATAATATTTATTCCCGTTTGTGACTCCATGAGGGAGGGTTGTCTTGGCTCTCAGCATAAAGGGACTCTAGCAAAGACAATGCGAATCCATTTCCGATTAATTCCCGTATTTTAGGCCTTCACAGTGTCACAAACGGGAACTAAGAGTACACTTTCACCAATTGCAAAGATTATAAACCGGAATGGACCGGGGAATTGGGGGTACGGCAAGGAACAAATGGATTGAGAGATGGAACGGAGACAGAAATTCGGGAATGAGTTAATCAAAGATTACGAAGAACGTCCGATTTGTGGATCTTTGTTCCCGTTTGTAATATCCATGAGCTGCGATGTCTCAACTCTCTCTATAAAGAGACTCTAGGAAAAACGCGGTATGAGCGTTCCAATGCTGCCGAATCTCCGCTGATAAAATGCGAATTTCCCGGGGAAATCGTAATTTTTCAGAGGATTTTAGATGTGTGATCAAAGTATTTGGAATGGTCGATGAAAACTATTTACAGCGACGACCGCCAATGAGCAGGGCACATAGCTGCCTCCCAAAGGGCCATTAAATTTTCATAGTATTTTCTAAAATTACAGGCTAGACAAACAGGGTTTCGATCCTAGTCAAAAGTTTGAGGAAGGAAAAAGTATTTTTTTTTTTAATCGATATTTTACCGGAAGGTACGGCAACATTCGAATGTTCTTACAACTTCTCTCCGGAGCTAGGCAATAAGAGCTAGCGCCTAACATTCTAACTTTGCTGAATCCTGTCTAATAAAATACGAGCTCTAGTGAAAATGTGTTACTTATTTTCAGTTAGTTTTTCAGAGGCTTCTAATTTCCTACAGTTGAACGTACTTAGAAATTTCGAGTAAAAGTAATCATAAGTTTGCTCAAAATAAACATTTTGTTGGTGGAGATTTGATAATATTCGAACAGTTCTTCGGAATCTCCGCATAGCAAAACAGCGTAGGTACTGATGTCTAAAGTCTAGAAGTGCGCAGCTCTGTTGCAGGCGTTCCAAAATCTCTGATTATGTATTCATTTTTTTTTCAAGAAAGCTCATAATCAATGCACCTACTTGAAATATTCTGTGATTTTTCTTGTATGAGTGAGAACAATTTAAGAATTTATCGTGATGCGGCTGGTAAGTTTTCATTTAAAAGTATAAAACTTGTGTGAAGTCGCAACGTCGCAATCGAAAACTCACATTTTTCAACCTATTCATCTAAATTTTACGGTAAAAGATCCGAAATCTCTATTATTGTTTTATTTCTATCAAAAAAAGAGAATGGACTCTATTGCCTAATTTTTTTTCAGAATATGCCGAACAGGGTTGAGATTTGTTTAAAAACCCCCAAGAGCAATGTTCCTTAGCTCTTTTTACATAGTTAAATTTTACCAGAAATATGCAACGTCTAAATTGAGATTTGTACGTGTTACTTTTCTCTCACTAACATAATGTGCCTCCCTCGTAAACCCGGAAATCGAGTTATTTCATAACATGATTACTGAAAAGTGTTTTAATGTAATTTTTTTTTTAAAATTTATGTTCTTACATACAAAGTCAAGTTGAAGAAATTCTGGCTGTTGTGTGAGCCGAAGTTTTTTCAAAAGACCAAGTCCTACGTAAGATATCGTAGTTATATGGACTCTTTTCCTTCGTACGTTGGTAAACTGAACATGGAGGATGTCAGCATGAAGCGAAAAAAATAATATTTGCTGTACGTTGCGCCATAGAAAAAAAAATAAAAATAAATAAACTTAAGCATGTGAGCAGACCATATTGATTTCCTTGTGTAAAGATGAAAATAATACACAAAAATAGCCCGAATAATCCCCTAACAATGTTCTTAGCCTCATTTGCCCATTTTCTTGTGTTTTTCATATTGATTTCTCTCTCTTTTATTTTGCTACTATGCAAAACCGGTGGAACATTTCCGACGAATTTAAAACAGATCAGGAAATAGGAGACCACAAAATACCTGTCGGCAAATAAAAAAAGCTTGTAGCTCATAGAAATCAACGTCAAGCTATTAAATAACAAAGACATCGAATTATATAGAAATTCCTCTGAAGAGGAACCATTTTGCGTTAATTCTTTTACCGTCATTTAATACGTAGCTAAAGTTCAACCCAACAGATATAGAATAGAAAACAACAAGTAAGAAATGATCAAGAACGGGAACAGGGTTTCACTCAGCAGACGTTCAACGACTTTAATCGTCTGTCAAAGATTCCATGCATCACCGTCTGCATGAACGAGCACAGAAGTCGCCTTCAATTAATCATGTATGCAATTCGCGCGTACAGATGTCGATATAGTTATCGCGGCCACTCCTATGTCGTCTCCGTTGAGTGATGAAGGCGTTCGTCCAAGTCTGCCAATAATGACTGAATATCAGTGTGGGATTGTGTGAAATATGATCTATGAATGTCCCTTTACGTTTGAAATCGTATTTTTTGAAGTACATTAACTTACATTAGTGTAAAATGGGCGGTGTTTTTCTAGACGGAATAAATGACCATCAGATGTTGCCAATTTACACGAGAACATTTCATTTCTTCTTATAATTTTTAACAGGGAAAAAATCGTACAAATTCTCTTGAAAATTATAGATAATTTGCTTTAGGCCTAAAGAAAAATTGCCTGAAACTTTCAAACGAAACGGTAAAATGTCCTCCACTAAATAAATGATTGGTCAAATGGAATTCGGCAACAGCTGATATTTTTTGGTTCTCAGTCAAGCGAAAAAGCTCAGATTGGAAGTCACTGAGCATAAGTGATAAAAAATTGAAATTAAAAAGTACTATATTAATCGTCTGATTGTATATACTCGGAGAAACGCACTTTTTCAAAATTCACAACATAGATTTCCTTTATCATTGATGGTGTTTTTACATTATACAAAACTACTTTGGAGGATCGATTCGGTCAAAATGCAGCGCACAATGCTCATATGCATGCGTCTTTCCCTTCGTTTTGACAGATGAAAGTTCAAATGTGGACGGCTCGAAAAGTAGTACTGTAAAATTCCTTTTCAATGTCATGTATTCCTACGAATGTTATTCAACCAATGACATTTTTTTGCTGTAGCAGGGACGACAAATTCTACGGGAAAAATTACCGTTTTCACGTGACAGTAATAGTTTCTTGATTGAGATATTTAAAGGCTGAAAGGCGAAAATGCAGAATGACACTTCCAAAATTGTGCGACCTATGCTTCACTACCTGTGAGGAACAGCTTTGATTTATATCACCATGTCTTTGATCATCGCAAATTTTGGTTAGGTGTGTCGTTATTAATTTTTCATCTAATTATGATGGTAAGTGCCTAATCGATGATGCATCGGAACATCACCTTGCAGTTTGTTTTGGTTATTTTTTTATCGCATATGTGTGTGTGGAAAAGCAGAATAGGTACTGAGATGCCCACTTAGTGTTTATTTGAGCTCTTAACTTTTCCTCGGTGAATATTCTAGATTTATTCTCAGCTAGGAGTCCGAGCTCAGGGGTAGCTCATTCATAAACTTAGAAAAATGATGCAGGTATATATATAATAGGGACAAAATGGATAATGAATATGACAAAACGGATAGCTAAGTTTTGATTCAACTTGGGTTTAGGTACAAAAAGTAGGTCTATAAAGTGACATTGACAAATATAGTGGTTGCTTTTGCCATGCAGGTACTTATATTTGGTATGATTTCGTTTTTAACCAAAAATCCCCCATTGTGAAGGAAGAATGTTATAAACCTCCAAATATAAGAGGAAGATGAAGGCCTATCCTAGATTACATCAAGGGTACAACATACTATCCTTTACATTAAAAAGAGTGTTTAAATATCCTTAGATAACTTTATTCTATCGAGTGAGCAGACTAAATCTCAGGAAATAGATAGACGCTCAATAACCTCTTCTCATGCCCTCTGACGTGGCGATCAAGAGATTGTGTATTCTCAAAATCCAGGACAATTGTTCCACTCTGGACCTATTCTCTCCAAAAGTGTTTAAGCTTCTCTCTTATTCCATGCCTTAAAGATTATTTGACTTTTTCAAAGATATCTGTATTCTGCATCTATTAATGTAGTAAAATCAAGCTCTTACGACGTTACTGAGCTACACGTTTGTGCGTTATCAATTTATTGACACAGCCCAATCCCTCTCTCGACTTGGTTCTTCAGGACTAAGATCATAAGATATTCCTTTTATAATATAGCATTGTCGGAACCAAAGTTGAGGATTGTTCACTCCAGGAAGAGCTAATCCGTTGTAAAGCTACAAAATTCTAAACATGTACATCCTCCAACTGACGAGAAAATGATGAGATTTTAATTGGGTCGAAGGGGTTCATCATGAAAACGGTTACCCTACATTCTAAACATGTAGTCCCCTTAACCTGATTAGAAACCTCAGGGCGTTTTATCCTCTAGGAGGGGTGACAAGAGTGATACATCACCCCGAAACGACTATCCTGCCAGAGAATCCATCGTTGATCGTGCAAAAGTTAGTAGGAGTGTACTCACCACCAAGGTTATTCCAACTGTATTAAAGTGCGAGTCTTGGGGAAGACATGATCGGATACTATTTTCGCAACACTTTCATCGTTCGAACGGCCACGTTCGCATAGGATGCACAGGCTCACGACTCGCGCACTTGGCAAAAGTAAGGGAACTAAGTGGGGAAAAGAAATAAAAACGGGGGGCGGAAAGCGGATTTTTTACGACACCTCAGTCGGATGGGCCCTCGAGGAACGGTATTAAAATGGCGAGTAGCAACCCAGATAGCGGGCGCGGAAAATCGATAAGGGACGGGCGAACGGACGAACCTAGCGGCATGCGCGCCTTGGAAAGGGTGCGCGGGCGACCCCAAACGCGAGGGGCTCGAGCAGTGACTCGCTCTCGAACCCATCGAGCTGCTCGAGTCGACTCAGGATCGAGTCCCTCCTGTGAATCCCTCGTTCTCTTATTCCTTCACCGGAAATACCAGCGAGCAAGAAGGGATATTTCAAAAAATCCCAAGTGTCATCATCACTTGCTAAAACTGTGTAACTGTTCCTCTTGTCTAACCAGAATGGAGATGTTGCATGTGTGAGGAATTTGCGATTTGACCATTGATTCTTTTGTAAAAGTTCGCGAGAAACACGATGGTGCCACTGGTTTTCTCTGAAATCAACTCCCAAGCTCAAAAAAAGCTCTCAAGTTGAGGCTAAAATGGAGGGGATATCCCGCCCTACTCTGAGAGTCCACGTCTACATCAAGACAAACTCTCCATGCAAAGAGGGAGCAAATACACTGACAGTGACGCTGTGTTTTCAGTTTTAGAGTCCCCAAATATAGTGGCAGCCATGTCAATATATTTGCTCCCTATCTTTGTATGGAGAGTTTGTCTTGATGTAGACGTGGACTCTCAGGGTAGGGTGGGATATCCCCTCCATTTTGGCCTCAATTTGAGAGCTTCTTTTAAGCTTGGGAGTTGATTTCAGAGAAAACCAGTGACACCATCGTGTTTCTCGCGAACTTTTACATAAGAATCAACAGTCAAAACGCAAATTTCTCACAAATGCAACATCTCCATTTAAAGGCCTAAGAATAATAATTCTATATTCAAAAATTAAGGTTGAACTTCAAGAAAAATATTAAGCAGCGAGGGCGCATTTAGGATCTTTTTAGTTTAGGAAAACTGTGTAACTGTACCTCTCCGTCCAACCAAAATTTAGGGGCCTTAAAATAGCATTTCTACTCAAAAATTAAAGTTGAACTTTTGCAAAAACATTAAGCAGCAAGGACGCATCTAAGATCTTTTACGATCAATAAAATAATGCATAGGCTTAATAATGACTGTTGGCGTTTAGGTTGTTTTGCAAATCCGTTTGTCAAGTCAATGGCGGTAATATCAAAAATACCAGTCTTGCCCTGGTTTTTTCCGATTTTGCAGACGAAGTTCTCTGTTTTGGAAATCATAAATTACATTATAATTTTATGCATTGAGCAAAGTCTATATTTTTTAAATGTTTTTAAATATTTAAAGTTTCCATCCTTAAGAAGCTTAGTGCTGAGTATGAATATGAGTTGTTTTTCTCTTTATTTTAATGCCAAAATAATGTACTTATAATCTTATATGCTGGAGACTTTTCAGGAGCTATGAGTATTTAATCTTTTTCATTCCTTAAAATATTTCATTGGCATAGACAGCGGGGAATTTCGCTCCTTACAAATAACTTGATGAAAGACGAAACTGAATTGGCGTTTCATCTTTTTATCGTACCTAATTCAACCCAAATCCTTTCAGTTTCAGAACTAGCTGTTACGATTATTACTATAAGTGTAAACACTGAAGATTTCTCGTCTAATAAGAAAAACATATTTATGTCTCTTCTTCTTAGTGACATTATCTTTCACTCAATCATAATAGTTTTACTTTTTCTAAAAATCATCATAGTTGCTAACACAAGAATAAAAATAAATAAATATATCCGAGCTGACCAAAAACCAAAAAATCCTTCAATTCGGTGGGTATGCAATTTGAGCTGCTTCAGAGTTGATTTAGTTGTATCTTAAACACCTAGGAGCCACAGCACAGCGTCACGTTAGGTGGACACCGCTTAACGCTGGGAAGTTGAACTTGAGGCCCAATTGCCTTTAATTTCAAGGAAAATGGCGCTGTATTACGTGACATGGTCTTAAAATCACTCTCATACGTTTTACTTTTACGGGATGAAAAATCAATGACTTCCTGTCCAATCGCTCAACAAATTACATTGTTTAAATTTGTATCCACGCTTTTTGCTTTTACCGCTTTCACTGCTGGCTCCGGTTTATTTTCCAGCTCGACGATACCAGTTTTACCTTTGAATTGTGCCACAGTATTACTAATAAGCCTAAAGCCCGTATAAAGAATTCACTAGCTCAACTCTATCGTTCTTGAGCATGCAAAGTTTCAACAAAAATTGCTTATTGTTTTAAGGCAGTATAAATTCCTTTTTAATAGACTTGAGAGCGATTTTCCACATGAATTTTCAACTCGGATTTTCTTGCACCACCGCGGATACCAGGAAAAATAGCTCAGTATTTTTATTCTCCCGCTAACTAAGCAGGTAAGTCGAGAAATGATTTCATTCGCGATTTTTATAATATCTACTCTCTTGGCAGTTTGGATATTATTATTCTGCGTATTGATGGATAATAAACAATACCGCTTACTTGCAATTTAACAATTTCGCAGGACGAAGAGAAAACTTCGCCATTTTTGTATAATTTTTAAGTTAAATTTGCAATTTTTCCATAGTGTACACTGTCATTGTAGCGCGCTCCCCTATATAGGATTGGAGGTAAAAATTAAGATCACCAGTTTGCGTTTTTTATACTGTAGAATATAACAATGCCGCTAACTCATGTTTGCCAGAATTGTAAAGTAGGCGGTATTTACCTTAGCCCTCGGTATAAACCTGCATTTTATTCCCATTTTCAGTATCAGCACTGACAAAGTAGCCCAAAGATTCTTTCCTCTCACCATATCCTGCAACTTGACACTTTCAAGAACTCTGCCGTCTTTGGTTGTTTGGGTCGTATAATGTCTTCTTTTACCACCTAATTCCCCAGCATTCCTTTCGCATTAAAGTCAAAGCTAGCCTGACGATAAAAGTGCAAAAACCAAAAAAATCCTTCAATTCAGTGGTTATGCAATTTGAGCTACTTCAGAGTTGATATAGTTGTATCTCAAGTTCCTAGTAAACACAGCGCAGGATAGTGTTAGACGGGCATTCCTTAACCCTGGAAAGTTGAAGTTAAGGCCGCATACATGTTTGTTCTGTTTGCAGTATCAACACCAAGAGAGTAGCCCACATATTTTTTCCTCTCGCCATATTCTGCAACTTGACACTTTCAGGAAATCTGCCCTCTTTGGTAGTTTGGGTCGTGCAATGTCTTCTTTTACCACATAATAAACCACAAATCCCTTCGGATTAAAATCCAAGTCGACCTGACGATAACAGTGCAAACAACCAAGAAATCCTTCAATTGAGTGGTTATGCAATTTAAGCTACTTCAGAGTTGATATAGTTGTATCTCAAGTTCCTAGTAATCACAGCGCAGGATAGTGTTAGACAGGCATTCCTTAACCCTAGAAAGTTGAAGTTAAGGCCACATACATTTGTGTTCTGTTTGCAGTATCAACACCAAGAGAGTAGCCCACATATTTTTCCTCTCACCATATTCTGCGACCTGACATTTTCAGGAAATCACAAATCGGATTTCCGCCCAACTCTTAGCTCGGCAGCATCAAGGACCGACTCTATCCTCGATTCATCTCGCATCGGATTCGGTACTCTCGAGGATCTCGCTCTTCGAGAGCAGCTCAAAGCGTCCCACCCACCCGTGTGCGCGTCTCGTCTAGTCATGAATCGCTCCCCATCAACGACCCACCGCCCCTCTCTGTCTCCTCGCCTTACGCATCCCTTACGTTCTCCATTCTTGTTTGCCCCTCCCCACTTCGTCGATCAGCTCGACGCCAACTATTTTCGCACCCCATCAAGACTTTGACAAACAGTCCGCAGCATCCGAAAAACAAATCCAATCAAAATGTCACGAGTCACCGAGAAACTGCAAAAATGTCCTTCTAATTAAAGCTTAGGAGAGCACCTCCTCGAATTAGAATGGGGCACTAGACGAGGTCCAAACTACAGAGAAAACCACACACTGGAAAAAAAAAAAAAAAAAAAAAAAAAAAAAAAAACCACATTGGATCTAGATTCCAGACTCTTGAAAACATTGACAAGAAAAAGGACTCTTGATTCAAGCGGATTTGAGCTTAAATCAAAAGGAAATCCGCTTAAATTAAGAGGCTTGGTTCTTGATTTAAGCTTAAATCTGATTGAATCAAGGGTATTTTTTCTTTTCGATGTTTTTAAGAGTCTGGATTCTAGATCCAATGTGTTTTTTTTTTCCAGTGCATGTAAATTCAAACTTTGGCGTTGAAGACGATTCACGCAACGAGAAGTTTGGATATCAGGTTCTGAACGACGAATGAACGAATATTTTTAACACAGAAATTCTAGGGGCAGTCGTCAAAGTAAAATTCCCTGATAGGACACAATTCTTGCCAATATACCAATTTTTAGACTTGCACCCTAAAGGGTCATTAATAGACCACTAAAAATGTCTTAACTTCATTTTTTTTTTTAAAATTTTAGGACCGTCACAGAATATTTCACTCAAACTTAACCTAGTCTTTTCTCAACTTTAAATGATATAAGACACCTCGAACCGCGTTCACCAGGTTGCATCTGCCATGCTACCGATTATATCGCTCAAATTCGGGAGAATACTTCATAATCGAAGCCCGATTACATCTTTCATAGCTTCGGCTATGTTTTGAAGCTTTACCACTCATAAGACAAAAACGGAACCAACACAACATGAGAATAGGGCGAGAGAAAGAAAAGAACGCACGTTCATGACGGCGCAGAGATACAACTATTCGTACTTGATGTATGTCCGTGTGGCATCGGCAAAATTGAAGGCGCGATGACGCGAGGAGTGTACCCGCAATACTCCGCTTTATGCTGCCATTGAATTTTTGCTCTAATTCGAGAGAAAGTTAAAAAACGAAGCCCACTACGCCTTTCCTATCTTCGACTGTGTCGACTCTCAATGTTTTTCTTTTTTTTTCAATTTGATGTCTGATTTTTTCTTTAGGAAGTACTTTTAGACCTCAGGGCCGGATTTACCTACCTGCCGCCCATGGACCGCCTGTAGGTATTTTGCCGCTCCCTTCTCGTTCATTTTGAAACATCATGAAAAACCAGCAAGTGAACGGGCCGGAGGGGGGAGGGATGCATAAGACGCGTTTACTCATGTTGGGCACATTTTCTGTGAAAGCCCCGTCAACACTACCAACAAAAGGTCACGGAACTTTGCGCGAAAGTCAAGTTTCGTAAACCTATCTCTAATGGACAAGGCCTTCCATTCATAAGAAATGAACGAAAAAATTATGAAAGAACAACCACAAAATTTGGTTTAGTGATTTTAACTTCCGCCGCCGCGCCGCGCCGACCGCACCGTGTTTGGTGCCATGCGTGAAGTATTCATGGAGGCTTGTAGGCGCTATGCGTTTCACGCCGACCGCTGCTGATCGCTGACCGCACTGTGTTATTTGACGCAATGCGTGAAGTATTCATGCAGTCTTGTAGGCGTTAATATGTGTTGCATGCCGACCGCCGCGCTGAGGGCTTCTCCTTTTCATCTCAAGTTCTCGTCATCAGTGATCTCTGCACCGCTCCACTCCAGGCCAAATTTCGTGTTTGGTTTCTCTCTTTAACTCGACTAATTAAAGATGCTGTCTCTTGTATCACCGAAAGGCGACAACATTAGATTTCTTTCTCAGGAGATAAGAGATTTTGTCGCCTTTTCTCGTTTTTCGAATCCAATTTTTTTTATACCTATATTTTAAAAAATTGCAAAATTTGCTGTCATGGGTCGCGGCCCATGTGGCCACCCCCTAAATCCAGAACTTCATAATATGCAACAATTAATGAAATTTTATCACCATGCATGTTTAGATCGAAACAATACCAAAATGAAACTTAAGAGACAGAAGGGAGAGGGGCTTTATGTGCTTTGCACCGTTGAATGAAATGGAGAACAGCCTCTGGCCATCACTTGCCACACTATTTCATTGAATAAAACAACACATACACCAATTCTACCAAATAAAGGGATGAAGATTTCACGCCAGATAACCAAGGAATGGACGTGTGAGGTCAGATATTATAATCACGTAGAAAGTTGATTAGAAATTTTCATTCAAATTTCCCGCCAAAAGATGCGTTGTGGGACGAAGTCGGGACTCAACGAACATCGATGAGGCGTCTAGTTTTTATCAGCGACACCTCTGAGCGACACACGAAGAACGTAAACAATTCTGTTATCAGTGATCAGTCCGCGCAGTCTAGCATGATTATCACTTCTGCGTAACTTCTTAAAAATATGCGTTGAACTCGTAATTATTTTTTTCAATTTTATTTTCCGCCAACAACCTATTTATCCATAATCTTCATCCGTCCTCCCTAAGTTCCTTCACTCAAAGTTTAGCTCAAAACGAGTTTCACGCTCTCTATTACTTAGAGACTGTTTTCTTTTGTGATAAAATATTTTTCACTCTGGTAAGTTATCAAATTTCCGCACGCTCTCTTTCAAAACCTCTAGAGAACCACACAATTTCATTGGCTTTGCGTAGTAATGAGTGTGGAAGGTGAGGACTGGAGTGAGATTCATCACTCGAAGAGAGTTCGATTGAACTCAACATTCTCCCAGCACTCTCAATGTCACTCAATTTCATAAATACTTATACATACAATTGTTGATTAAAATACGTTTGAAATGTACGATATTGTACATTGTTAACAAAATCATTGTATTCCACGATCCTGCGCCAGCATTTTCTGAAACTTCTTAAAAGCAGGGAATCGAACGATGAAGAGCTAAGCGGCGTCGAGACTTTGTTGTCAATTTTGTCAAACTCAATTCTCTTGAAGTAGGTAAAATGGAAGTTTTTGTCAGTCAAGCCGTATCCAAAGCTGACAAATCAACGGTGAAACTGCCGAATCTTGTATCTTGTTTGCAGTGTTTAAAAATCTCCGCTGTCATTTTATTTTTTTGAAGGAGAAAAAATTATTGTCATTCCTTTTAGTTTTAATAGGGTGTTATGAGCCAAGAGAATAATAATCACGGAGGTTTTCATGAATCGATGTTGAATTTTTCCATTTCAAAAAGAAAGTGTGACAGGAAGTCTACCACATCGCCAACCGAAATACTAGGTCTGGTAATTTCACCATAAAAATGAGTTTATTACTTATATGAGCACAGGAAGGAAGTTACTTCTCAGTTGTTATAACTCCTTGACTTCTCTTTCCTGAAGATCTATAATCAGGGCCAGGTACTTCTTGATGAGGACAGTGCTATTTATTTTGACCTTTAAATATATTATCATTCCTTATAAACTGAGCTTAAAATTGAATGAAAATAATAGAAATCCCATCTGTAGAGTTACATTTCAGAATTCTCGCTACCAATGTTATCTCTCTCAGTGTTTTGTGAGTGAGTAGTACTACTTTTTTTTGTTTTCTTTTTAGCTTTGAATTGAATTTCTGTACCAGGAAATTTTGCACAAGATGTCAGAAAACTCATCAAACTCTTTTCCCAAGACTGGAAATGAAGCGCTCGATAGCTCTATAGAACAATGGCTAAAATGGAACCAGGTAATTGGAGAACTTGAATTCTCATTCCACCCGTTCATTCTTCAACCTACCTTTAATTCTCAGTAGGCGCTTTCTCTTTTGCTCTTTACTGACATAAGTCAAAAGGGAAATCAGGGAAGTTCCTGCTTGTTTGGTAAGGTATTAGACAAGTTTCATACTCATTTACAATTGGTAGGCATGGAGCACCTGTTCTAGGTCAACATGAGCCAAGCAACATAGCTCGGCATTGGCCATCTCCACTCAAAGTAAGTAGGTACTTTTGACATGAGTCTAAGGGATTTTGATAGCGAATCTGAGTCTCCGCTCGCATTTCTGGACATCCAGCCAGCGAAACTCAAACCATTGACAAGTAGTCAGTGAAATGTTTGTGGATATGCTCACCTCTCGTCAAAACTTCAAATGTTTTTCTATCGGCGCACAACCTAGCAAACACTGTGTAGGGCTGATTTGCCTCAATATTTTATCTGATCCTGGCCAGATCACCTTCGATCAATGTCCTTGTAAAATCAAGGGTAGATGTGAAGGCTTGACTCTATGGAAATCTACTAATGTACATTTGCACATCTACTGATGGCAATTTTTCCCTTAATTTGTCATACTCAAATGTCTGTTGACCTTATTTCACTCATCAACTTCATACCATCATGATAAAGTACCTGGGAAGCCATAGGCTCAAGATCATGATTTCGAAATTGTTTAATTAGAATTTGCTTGTTTTCTTTCAGAATGAGAACTTTAAAAATGAACTGTTGGAGATCCTAGAGCAGAAAGATGAGAAACTCCTGCAAAGGATATTTTCCTCGCCCCTAGAATTTGGAACTGCTGGAATTCGCGGGCGAATGGGACCTGGCTGCAGTCAGATGAATGATCTTACAATCATTCAAACAACACAAGGTCTTCTGAAGTATTTGTTGGAAGTTCATAAAGATAGCACAAACAATAGATGTGTTGTCATTGGCTATGATGGACGCCACAATAGCTACAGGTGCATTAAAACTTTCATGCCTTTTGTTTTGACTTATGAGTAATTTCTGCTCTATATTTAAGTAAGTTACATATAAGCCCCCGGTTTTGACGAAATAAAAATGATAATGAGTGATTACAGCTCAAAGAGGAACTGACCTCTGAATAATGTTTTCGAAGATTTAAGTCTGAGTAACACAATGATTGTGTAAAATAATTCTAAAATAATGTATGATTGAGGAAAGTAATAATTTGTAACACTTGATTAATAAAAGTTCAGTTAAGTAAATATGTTAGGATTTAGAAAATGTGACTCAGAATAGTAACATCTGAGATTATTTTTCTGTTCTGATGCTATTGATACAAGGAAACTGGAACTTTGTTGAAAGAGATAAAAACATTGAACAAATTGAAAGAATTTAAGTCAGAGCGAGCTTAACACAATTTTTTACCTCAGAATCTTCTTTTTGAATTACTCATTAATGAAATGTTCCTCTGACGAAATCTTCTCTTTGATGCAGTGAAGTAAATACCGTAAAAATGATTGACATTGAAAGGATCCTTGTGCATCCTGATGGTGTTGTAAGGGGGCTCTCTTAAATTTTTCAAGTGGACGTAGACAGAGCCACTTTTTTAGCTCTTAGCGTGTCTATCCTACTAACCTGCTTTATTGGTCCTGACACAGCACATCATAAACAAGGCCAGCCATAAAGTATTTTATTTCTTTTTTTTACCTCTGTTTTGACTTTAGGAAATCTGAATAATTATATTTTGTGTGTGAGGGTGTGAGTGTCGCAATAGTTGGTTTTAAAATTTCCAAGAAAACACCCAGATCTTTAGTAACATTTTGCCTAACAACAAAACTGCTCAAGAAAAATTTGGAAAAAATTTGAAAGAGCTTAGTGAAAGTACAAAAATTATAATTGAATGACATATTTCCTGTGTTGTTTTGCTGATCTGCCAGGAAAGAAATGGGTACTAAGTAGTACTGGCCGACTGACTAAGGAGCCGACCGGCTGAAACTAATCCACCTCTTATTTTGAATTTTGGTGCGACATGCTGGAACCGCTTGGAAGCACTACTTAAGATCATTATCCTTTTGAAAATGTTCTCTTGATGTGGCTGCTAGCATGTAGTAAGTAAGTGTGTCAGACTTTGTTTCTATTTTTTTCTTACTCATTTTAATATTTTTGGTCTGTCCTCTTCAGATTCGCAAAATTAACTGCCACAGCTTTCATCAACAGCGGTATCAAAACAATTCTATTTGGGAAACCTGTACCCACTCCATACATTCCATTCACAGTGCTACAACACAAATGCTGGGCAGGAATTATGATCACGGCCTCCCATAATCCAAAAGATGACAATGGTTACAAGGTGTACTGGAACAATGGTTGTCAAGTAAGAATTCTTTTATTGTCTTCCCCCTCTCCTTTTTAAAGTCACTATTTTTTACATTAAATATTCATCTTCAACTTTTCCTAAAAAGTATTTGTTTTTGGTTTTAAAAAGCTATCTTGACCCTATGCAGTGAAGTCACAAATTGATTGCTTAAGTTAAAGAATACGTGTCCTACATTATGACATTATTGGTCTCTGTTCATATTTTATTTAACAGTTTCTGTTGGAATTCTCTGTGAATTTTCCACCCTCGTTCTGAAAAAATGTATACAACATTGCAAATATGTAAACATTCCTATTAGATCTCTTTGAAGAAGACAGAACGCAATCAGAGATTTTAAACATTGCTACTAGCCATCAAATTGCCCCTTGGACCTGAACACCTCATGACATGGTAGCCATAATTATTTACCTAAAAGAGGGATTTCATATCGACGGTGAAAGTACCAGACCACGTATCTTGGATTTGGACGCTGTAGATTTCCTGTCGTACTTTATTTTTAGATGGAAAACTTCTCAAAGTCAATTTTTGAAAATTTCCCTGTTTTTTCTTCTCTGTACGAAGAAAACAGTGAAAATTTCAAGAAATTATTTTGTTTTGTTCTCCTTCAAAAAAATAAAATAGGAGCAGAGATTTTTAAACACCGCAAATGAGATACAAGGTCTGGTAGTTTTACCATCGATATGTGACTAAGCCCCATTTTGTTTCTTGAAAGCAAATAAAGATATTCTTAATAAAAAATTATGTTCTCATTCCGCGTATATTCAGCCATTCAACAAGCCACAAAAAGTAAAAATTGGCTCAATTTTGAAGAGATGAAATGGGGAAACTTACCTCAGAAATAGCCCTTATATTTAAATAATTTGAGCAAGAAAATGTAATGTACATCCAAGAAAAATGATTGTTTAAATTAAGAAAAGAAATAATATCTGAAGAAAAATGTGCGAAAACATTTTTGTTTTATTTTTATCGTTGCTATGTCACCATACCTTAAAGCATTGTAGGTGACCATTTGCTGTAAAGTGGAAAAATGTATGTGCCTTGTGCATTCTGCTCCTCAATTTTTCGGTTACTCCCTACAATGTTTATTTCTTCTGAGTGGACCTTTGAAAAATTCCAAGACACTAAAGAAACATACCCATACATCAAACTCAAATTAAACTTGAAATTTGCTGTGAATAAAATGTAGATGTAAAAATCTGTTGCTAGTACAAGATCAAACTTTAAATGTCAAACTGAACAAGCGTTTTCTCTTTTATATTATCAATATTATAGCATCAATTTTATATCATCAATCGATGCTTCCAAAATAGTGCTTCTGTATCCTCAGTTTTTGGACTTTACTTGATTCCAGATTATTTCTCCACATGACAAGAAAATCCAAGAGCGTATCCTGCAAAATCTAGAACCTTGGCCTCAAGCTTGGCACTACGACATCACTGATGATCACAAACTCATCCTAGACCCTTTGGAGGAAATATCTAATCTCTATTTTGATGTTATTCTCAAAGAAGATCGATTTGACCCCGATCTCTATCCTAACACTAGCCTGAAATTTACGTACACAGCAATGCATGGTGTCGGGTATCCATACATTAAAAAGGGTTTTGAAACTTATGGTTATAAGGTATGTATCAGCGCTTTTTTAGTGAAGTAACAAATCCTTGTGACGTATGAAATATTCAGAGGATTTGGGGGTGAAAAAGAAAAAAGCCAAGCTCACCAAAAAATATGAAAGGCAAGATTTGAACTAACGGTTCTGAGAAGAAGTGCTTGCGCACTTGTTGTAGCCCTCATTTCCATGCTTCATTCTCTGTTCATTTTTTTCATTTTCATGGATGAATGCATGTTGAAATGTCAAGTTGAAGAAAAATATAATCAATTTCCAGCGCTTCATTCTATGCATGGTTCATGGACACCACAAACCAATATTTAAAATTAGGTATTTTCAATCTGTGTGTGGGTCCTAAAACATCAGCTATATTTTTAAATAATTATACAAATTTAGGATTGAGAATAACTTTTCATAAGTTCAGAACTGCCACGGAAGTCTCTAACAGCCCAAGTTTAAATGTTCAACATTTTTCTTTGAAGTTGTCAGTCCTGATCAAAAGCCCTGTATTAGCACAGCTTTGAAAAATTTGTGAAAAATGATTCCACAAACATCTATAATTGATTCTAGTTTTTTGTGAATTCTATGAACACCCACATTACCTGTAAGTCCCATGCCTTTATACTGAATTACATGTAATCACTTGGTAAGTCCATCTTGAAATAGATGAGTTGTAAGTCCGCAATCACATATCTTGTTTGCAGTGTCTGGAAATCTCCGCCTCTATGTTATTTTTTTAAAAGAGAACAAATTGACATCATTCCTTGAAATTTTTGCTTAGAGAAGAAAAATCACGGCAGCTTTAAAGAATTACCATTGAGTAGTTTTCCGTCAAAAAAAATAAAAGTATGACACGAAGTCTGTGACGTCGCAAACAGAGTTATGTGATTGCTGACTTACACCGTCAATATATTGATAGTAGACCAAAGGTAAACTGGTTTTTCCCTTTATTTGACATATGGCCTAGTGGATGTATAAATGCATGCCCAATACGAATACTTAAGAGATAAGAGCCTAAAATGAAGAAGGTAATTCCCTTGATTCAGGAAGTTACCACTGAACAAATTGCAAACAAACTATATTCAATTAGTTTTTGCGTCACTGTTCCTTTTTATGCTGTTCCCAGAATGAAAGTCTTGTTGTGGTGGAAGAACAGAGAGACCCTGATCCTGATTTTCCAACTGTCGAATTTCCAAATCCAGAAGAAGGGAAAAGTGCCTTAGAATTAGCCATCAAAACTGCCAATGCCAACAATAGCACCTACATTTTAGCCAATGATCCCGATGCTGACAGACTAGCAGTAGCTCAAAAAGACAAAAAGTAAGTCAGCAACTTCTAACAGATAAGATGGCACTGCAGAGGAAGAAGTCTAAAGCCTCTTCACCTCTAGTTTGAGATCGCCCACTGCTCTGAGAAAGGATGAAGCATTTTTTTTTTTTTTTTAACTGGCAGACTCACTTTTAAAAATACAATAAGAATGTTCCTATATAAAGGACCATTGAAACAATTTTAAAGACCAGTTATAAATTAATGAAGTGAAGACCGGAGAAAGGAAGCAGAACAGCCTTTTCCAACAATTAGACACTTTAAGAAGCTAGTTTTTTTGTTTTTAGAAATTGTATGCATACTATTTTCGATTAAATATAATAAAGTTTCCATAATAGATAAATACTTTTTTGATCAGATACCTAACTCACATATCCAAGCTGCAAGAAAGAAATTTTTCAGACACTCGATGTTGAATTGTCACTCTTGTATCTTTGCCTTGTGTGGTTTCGATTCACGCACTTAAAATTTCTGCAAAATAATGCTGATACTGCAGTAATTTTAACGGTTAAGATCACTTTGACCTCTTCAGTATTCATCAGATGAAATGATAAGATGATTTCTTTTTGTATTCTAGGTCGGGAAACTGGAGAGTCTTTACTGGCAATGAATTGGGTGCCTTGTTCGGATGGTGGGCCTACTACAAGTACCTCGTGAAAAATCCTAATCCAGAGTGTATGTCTAATGTCTATATGTTGTCAAGTACAGTTTCCTCAAACATTCTGCGAACTATGGCAAAAGAGAATGGTTTCTGTCATGAGGTGAGAGAATCATTACTTTTTCAAGCACAAATATTATAAACAGAATGAAAACTGTCAAAGTTTTTTGTTGATATGGGTTCTTGTCGAAACTGCCATCGGAAAAGAAGATGAGGAGAAAAAATTCTACACATTGTATCAAATCGTCATTTTGAAACATCAATTTGCCAAGTTGGTGGCAGCCCAACCCCAGACTCTGCTTTCTAGGTCCAAAACGGAATTTTTCAGTTCTCAAATATTCTGTCGGTGTTCCATTTTACCCATTGGACTGAAGTTTATGAGCACCATAACAATGTATTCCTGCTGCACAGCCGGATTTTCTCCAAATTAAGTAAATATAATTTTACTGGAAAAAAAATAGCGCTACTTAAGAATCCCTGGATAAAAGTACAGGCTTCGGACTGCATGTACTCCAAAAGAGCTAACGTAATGAGGAAAACTCGAAGGGGCATAGGCTTTCAAAAATGGCACACACTTGATTTCATATCCATTAGATTAAGATTTTTGTAAAAGGAAGTTCAAACATCATTGTAAGTCTAATATTCTGATTATTATGGAAACTTTTAAGTGCTCATTTTTTATGGCTTGAATTGATGTATAAATATACATTGATTTTGGCGTAGGTCTATAAGTAAATTTCTCATATTAATTATAGGTTCCATTCTCTTTAAATTAATCTGGAATTATACATGCAGCTGATACATGATTTGTTCCTTAGGACTATTTTTCGAGCATAAATCGTCATCCTCTGGCCAAAGTATCACAAGCGTTATGCGACGTTTCAAAATTTCTGCCGCCATTTTGTTTTCTTATAGAGAAATTTTTCAAGGAAGCTCCCTGCAAATTTCACTAAATTTCCTTTGTGCTACTGATAAAAGTCAGTGAACTTTTCAAACAGATTCTACCCACAATTTCTCTATAAAAACATAAAATGGCGGCAGAAATTTTGAAATGTTACTGGCTCTTGTAATTCTTTGGCCAAAAGGTGACGAAATGTTCACGGGTGCTTTCTGTTGATACGTACGTTTGTTCGTACGTTCTAATGATATTGTATGAAAGGAACTCTTACTTTATGCACAGGCTACTAATTTTATGATCATGTAACCAGGTACACATTCCTTATTTTTTTAATCATGTTAGTGCCGAAGTGAAACGGATTTTTAATATTTTTTTCTTTTCTTTACAGGATACACTGACTGGTTTCAAGTGGTTAGGTAATAAAGCATTAGACTTGGAAAAGAATCACAAGAAAGTTTTATTTGCTTTTGAAGAAGCTATAGGATTTATGTTTGGCACAACTGTTCCTGACAAAGATGGTGTCTCTGCAGCAATTAAAGCAGCTGAACTTGCATGTTTTCTTGAGAAAACAGGAAAAACTTATTGTGATAAATTAGATGAGATCTGGAATACGTAAGTGTTTAACCTTCATCTTACCGTAGGCTATGGATGCTCTGTTTGTATGATTATTCTATCTTTATGATTGACAAACATCAAACACCCAATTAGTCTCAGTCTTACAGTAGCTTTAAATTTCATACAGCCTCAAAGGAAAATAGGGCATTAAGGAGATTCGATAGACGCCATATTTTGTGTTAGAATGGCATGCGATATATCGCATCAATTGGTTCCATTATTTCAGCTACTCGTCATTTTTCTCCAATTTTGAGATCGCAATTCTGTTGTCAGGAGACTAAAGCACTCACTTACCAATTTTAACCAAGAAATTCAAGGTAATAAAGGCGTGGTTTTTTCAGAGAGAAGACATCGCATTCGAGTGCAGTTTCGATATCAGTATCGAATGCGATGTTTTCTCTCTGAAAAAACCACGCCTTTATTACCTTGAATTTCTTGGTTAAAATTGGTAAGTGAGTGCTTTAGTCTCCTGACAACAGAATTGCGATCTCAAAATTGGAGAAAAATGACGAGTAGCTGAAAGAATGGAGCCAATAGATGCGATATATCGCATGCCGTTCTGACACAAAATATGGCGTCCATCGAATCACCTTAACCACCAATTTAGCATGTTTAGAGAAATCTTACTACCGAGACTGTGTCAAAAGAATTGAGACTGGTGCTGTAACTTTTGAACTGAGGCAACCAGTAAACTGATCTTGATTATGTTAGCCGTAAATAAATTTTTTGAGGGCAGGTTTAAGCGCAGATTTTGGGAACATTTTTATTTTAATTATTTTTTCTTTTGCTTTCCTGTGCCAAAATTTCAATTATACAACTTTCCAATTGCTTTACAAAGTCATATCTTTCAGCTGACCTTGTAGCATCATGACTTTTGCCCCGGATATTGATAGGACAAATTATGACTTGGCAAAGGCCAAAGCAGAAGTAGGAGGGCTTATTGAGAAGCCCTTGTTGCTGTGAGAAGACGATTCTCTGAAAAGTTATGGTGACTTTAGGATTTTGACTCAGTTTTCTAGATTTAGAAACTCCTTTTCTTTTTTTGTAAATGTTTGAAAAGTGGGTCATACGTAGGTATGATCCTTAAATCATGATGTAAGGAGTAGTCCTTACATCATGATTTAAGGATCATTCTCTGCTTAACGCATCGTTATTTCCCTTATTTTCGTGGGACAACATTTTTCTTTGAATATTAAGCGATCTTTTTTGTCTCCAGATATGGTTTTCACATCACTTGCAATTCTTACTTTATTTGCCATGATTCTCAAATTATCAAGAAGATATTTGACCGTTTACGCACCATGAATGAAGCACCTAATTCAGTAAGTTGTTAATTACAAAATAATTCAGTGTATAAATCATATCAAAGTTTTTCCTAAGTTTAGTCCCCCTTTCCTCAAAACATAAATGCTCTCTCAAGAGAGCTCTAATGAATAAATTTCAATCTTGCTGTGACAGTGGTTTTTTCTGAAGGAACAATCAGGGAATCTGAATCAGAACGGATGGAAGTTTTAAGATTAAATATTCCAAAAAATTGCAATTTATTAGAAAAAAAGGAGATTATTATAAAAATATGAAATCCTGAGGCATATCCTTGATGAGCATTGTGCTTAGCCTAAAATTCGATTCAGCCCTTCCTGATGTTTTGATCAAAAATTGCCAAAGTGAGTTGTACCAGAGTAACAATAGAATCGAACCTGCCTTGAAAAATTCTATACTTACTCAAATTCTCTACCAATTGCAAGCCAAGGTAATTTTTTGAATACCTATTTGTATTTGTTGGAACCAGATAACATTATAACACTGAACACTGTTCTGACAAAATGTTTTGTTCTGAAGGTTATAAGGTTTAAATAAAATTATTACAACGTTTTATCCCATATGTTACACAAATTTGGAGGTTTAAAATCTCAAATACAAATGTATAGGGATGTAATTAGCACATGGTTGTATGTTTCATCCTGAAAATTTCATTCAAGAACTAAAACTTGTGATTAGGCTTTAAGAATTTACTCTCCGGAAGATTTGCAGCTTCTAGCAGCTATCATATTAATTTAACATAAATCAAAACATAGCAAAGGTGACCGCAACAGTTCATTCTGATTTGGTACATTTTCATTGAGTAGCAATTAGAATTAAAGTTGAATAAGATGGATAATAGAATTTAAAATAATAGTTTTCTAAAAATAAGAAAAATATCATGGGAATACCCTCTGATTCATACATAGTGAGTTATTTATTTTTATCTTTTCCTATTATTTCAGTATCCAGATTCAATTCTGAGTGGTCGATACAAGATCAATGGAGTCAGAGACTTGACTACAGGATATGATTCCACAAGAGAGGACAAAAAAGCCATATTGCCAACTTCAAAGTCTAGTCAAATGATAACCTTTTATTTTGAAAATGGTTTAATTGCAACGTTGAGAACAAGTGGAACCGAGCCAAAAATTAAATATTATACCGAGCTTTGTGCTCCATCTTCCGAAAAGTAAGTAAATAATTTTTGCTGAATATCTCATGATCCATACATAGTGAGAAACCATAAAAAATATGTAATGATTGAGTATACATAAGCTCAATAGAGCGGTTCTTGAACCCAACAGAGATTTCGAAGCCTTGGTATATTCGATTTAGGTAATAGAAACAGGAAGTACATCAGAACCTATTCAGATATTCCACAATGTCAAGTTCAATTATGAGTATATCTACGATCACTCATATTCTGCACACTCAGCAGAGGCATCAGTGAATGGTAAAAAGAAGCAAGAAGCCTAACCTGATGGAAGGATATGACCATAGTCTGCAGTAGACAGGGTTTGTTACAATTATTAGAATACAATTTCTTGGCAAATCAAGTTGCAGATGACCTCTGAAGAATTTTTCACAGACAATATGTTTTGACTCTTAACAAAATGCTCGCTAGCGATAGCTTTTCTCCCACCACTTGTAGTGATTGCCTCGTCTTATTCCCTAAAATCTGGGACGTAGTAACTATCAGCATAGCCATAAACAAGCATAGATAATTTTTGTAGATGTGCTAGATTAAGAAAATCTGGGGTGCACGGGAACTTTGTGACTCCTTCTTCCCTCTTTTCAAGTGAAAGAAGTTTGAAAGATATTCCCTGCAAGTTTTGGTTGTATTTGACTCTTTCATAGCGCCAATGAAGGACACTCTGTTTGGTACAAACTGTGTTCAAGAAAATTGCCAAATGCCCTTTTTTCGAATATATTGAAAGTTTACATATATGCTACCTGTTGGGCATTTTCAATTTTGGCCATAGGAAATTGTACCTAAAAAATTTCCGGTGAAAGTGGGAGGAAAAATGGTGGAGTGAAGTTATGACAAGCCAATTTAGTGCTTTGAAAAAAGTTTGTGGGTCCCACTCTGGCCTATTACTGCGCTTGCCAACAACTGTAGCAATAGGGCATTGTTAACAAAATTAGGAGTACGTCCATCTTATTTTGTGTAAGAACACTTATTTTCAACTCTGATAGCACCTCTGTGGCCCTGTCCTTAAGTGTTAAAGTATATTTTTTTATCATCTTTTTTTTTGTTTTTTTTTTTTTTAATAATTATACTTATTGAATGAGGAAAATTTCAATAACCGGATTCTGAAATTATGTTTAATTTAGAATTAGAATACAATGTTTCGTCATAGTTACTTACTTAAAATGTCTACTTTTATTTTTTGCAAACTCTAGCAGGATTTCTGCTCATTTTCTTTGAATGTTTTCTTGAGGCAAAGAAACTACTGAGGAAAAGAATATTTATCATTTTCTTCCTACCATGCATCAGTTGTGAATAAAAGTGCGTTGTCAGATAGTAAGAGCTGAAATACACCCCATTAATTATTAATGAATTGACTTAAAGTTATCTTTGCCCTCTCTTCATTTGTTCTCATGGAATCTAAGTATCACAACAGCTACACTATATATTGTTAGATTTATCTAAATTATTCACCCTTTTATTACAGAAACGTCGAAGAGGTCAAGAAAAATCTCAGTGAAATGGTTGATGCAATTGTGAAGGAGTTTTTGCAGCCAGATGCTCATGGTTTACAGCCAAGAAAGTAGTGGACTAGAACCATATGTGATTCAAAATTATTTATATGAAGATCTCCGGTATGTTACCATTGTTTTGTTTCCTTCCCATTCAGCTGAAATGTTTATCTATCAAAGACGAAAAGGGTAGACAGCTCTAAAGTTATAAACTTATTTCCATGCTGTTTTTCTTACTGGTAGGAATCATGAGGGTAGCTAACTGAAATTTTTATAGCAACCTTCGTAATCCGTCATTTTTATTTTACAGGCATTATATTCAAATCCCAAAATACACATATAACAATGAAATAAGATTAATATAAAATATTGTAGAATCCAAATTCCATGCAAACCACTTTTTTCTTAAAATATAAGGCTCAGAAAAAGCAAAAGCTTCCAATTGTAGATGATATGTATTAATTCAAAGTGATGAAATAGATTTAGGCAATAATAATTTTTTTTACAATGCAAAAAAGCAACAATTTGTTGTGCCACAAATTATTTTAGTGTCCTTTCTATTGGATAATTAATTGTGATTCTTATGTACTTAAGTGGCCATTTAGTTGTTCATATTTTTAGTATTTATCGTGTTTTTAAGTTTTAAATAAATTCAGTAATCTCTCTTTAATTCTGTCCTAGTTTTTTTGCACGAGAAAACGAATAACCCGAAAATTACTTTGACTTTTAATCTGTGCTTTTTCAGTTAAAAACCAAGATTTAATTTTTTTTTCTTTATGAATCAAAAAACAAAGGAGGTAAAAAATGCGCACCCAGCTTCAAATAATAAGCCCAAAAGAGAATAGAAATAAGGCTCTCAAAACTGCTAATTCCAAAATTCAAGTAAAGTCACCTACAGTGTCTCACTCAAATATTTTCGATATTTTCTCTCTGGAATTCATTAAAGGTCGAAATTTTTCACCTTCTACTTAAAGGACTTCCTCTCTCAGTCCATGCAACATCAATCCATTTTATGATTGTAAAAGAAAGAATGAGAAAAAAAACCACTACACAAACAAAACAAAAGAAAGGAGAATTTTTATGGGTTTTCAAGAAAAGACTCTTAATTCTACAACTTAAATTCACATCAATATTTCACAAATAAAAACAAAAAGGGTTTCCTAATGTTTTTTCTTCTTCCTCCTCTCATAAAGGGAAGTCCAAATGAGGGGCTTGGAGGACAAGGCGCATAAGTGTAGTTTTTGCTATTTCGGGAAGTACGTTTTTGAAGTTCTGCAATTACATGGATCCTCATGGCAGAAAAAATGTTTAAACTGACTTTTTGATGCTTAAAAATTGAAATTTGGGAGCTACTTTTTCTCAGGAAATGCAGTTAGACGTTTTTTACCTGAAATCATTAATATCTTAATTTTTTCAAAAATTGCACGAATGCGCTTTGTCCTTCAAGTCCCTTAAATGTAGTCATCTATGCTGATATGGTCTACATCCCTCCATTCAGAGGATACGTGGATGACGTAAGGGATGAAAAGAAACACCGAATGGAAATCGCTAAGCTGTAGATATTCGAAATATATGATCAAAGAATATTCGCAGTTTATTCAGGAAAGTACCATATCATGCATCACGCCCCCAAATTGAATTCCACCGCCGAATCGTCCCACGAGAAATTGAAACCGACTTCCTCCACGAACTCCGCCAAGTTTCACATAGAACTTGAAATGGTGGTGGTGGGGGAAGGGGGGGGGGAGGGGCTACAGCCTGGAGCTCAGACGAAGCTCGGATTTTGAGGTTGCCTCCGGCGGCACCCACGCTCGTAAGAACCCGAGTCGGGAATCCGAGAAATCAGTGACATCAGCGGAGGATGCCGCGACGTGACGCCGCGAGAAGTTAACTTATTGTTGCGGGGAGGAGCGAATGGAATTCTGCCGTGCTAAGGAAAAACGCCGTATGAACCTTCAGGCGTTGCCAAATTCCCTTCGATGAAACTCGAATTTCCTGGTAAACTTATGGATATTTTTCCTCTAATTTTTCAGAGTAATTTGTTCACAATTCCACCTCAAGTTCCTGAAAATTTGAAGGAAAAATGTGCATTAGTCTCCTTAAAAATGAACGTATTATCGAGGGAAATTTGGCAACTCTCGAATGTTCATACGGCGTTCTTCCGTAGCAAGGCAGAATTAGCCGGGAACGCGGAAGCGGGCTGTCAAACGGGAGTGACGAAGCAAAGACGGCGGCGGCCGGGAGGAGGGAAGAGGGGGGGGGAGGGGGCGAGCTTTATCCTGGAAGAGCCGGAATTAATCATTCGATCAAACGAGGTATTTAATGAAGCCGGGAGAGATAAAATTTCAGCCGGATTAATTTACATCATTAGGGGGTCACCGTTCTCGTCTCTACCCCTTTTTCGGCCCCTTCTTCCTCCGCGACTCCCATATTCGGCGCCCGCCGTCCGCGGTTTTCGTGAAATCGTCGGAAAACGCGATTCGAAAAATCGCGACGTAGTGATGCATCGCAAATTTTCAAATCGGATCTGTGGGATTTTATTAAATATAGGGTGTCTAGCATCAGGAAAAACCGGAAAATATCAGGAATTTCGGCCGATCAGGAAAATATCAGGAAAATCGGACGTTTTATCAGGAATTTTTCCAACGTGAATCTCCTCAAAGGAGAAAGTCTTACTGCTTTTTGCCTACCGTGCCAGGAGTCGAGAAAAATCAGGAAAATATCAGGAATTTTCAAAATGAAAAAGTACTAGACACCCTGTAAAAGGAGGAATGAAGAAGTGAAAAACTGATTTTTTCCACATCTGTCAAACAACTATGCTAGAGCCGATAATAATTGTGTACGACAACCAGGAATTATTTCTGGTCATACCTACTTCGTCGCCTTTCTGACGTAAGGGCTTAAGTATCTAGATTTCCATGTAAGCCTTGTTGTACATGAGACTCAATACTTTTTGGGGCTCATGCTGAAAATATAAAGATACGCCCTTGCGTCAGAGGAGCGACAATTTTTGGTCCTGAGGCCAATACTGCCGTGTTAAGGAAGAACGCCGTATAAACATTTGAAAGTTGCCAACTTTTTCTTGATAAAACACGTATTTTTCACAACAATCATGCATATTTTTCTTCGAAATTTTCAGATATTTTCTATCGAATTGCGTACAAAATTGTCTAAAAATTTTGGAAAATAATATTCACAATTTCCCCAGTAAATTTGGTTTTTATCGGAGGAAACTTGGCAACGTCTGAAGGCTCATACGGCGTTTTTCCTTAGCACTGCAGAATAATGACCTCATTATTGTTTGTAATTCACTTATTAGACCTCAGTTTATTTTAGGTAAAAGTTTTGGGTTAGTGCGGATTGAACCTACAACAATTGGATGGGTTTTTTGGTGGGGGGGGGAGGGATATTTTGGTTTTCGGAGGGGAGCATGAATGGAATTTAAGAACTGAATCATTATGAAGAAACTCCCAATCCTCATGCAATTTCTCTTAAAAGGATGAACCCGTTTAACAATTTACGCACATGGTTTAATAACAATTCAAGTAAACTAGACACACCGAAAACATGTACAAATATGGTGCCTATTTGCTGCGTTATTTGTAAATATCCATTGTAGCTCATAGTCAATTAACTAACTGACTAACGACTTTCTTATCTCAATAGATGTCAATTATCAAATTGTTGGCGTGTATATGTAGCACGCAATTAACAATCGCCGACACCCGACAGTCTGCAGGCAGTGCGCACGTCTTGTTTCGCTAAATCGCAATAATAGGCGTCGGCATAATGAAGGTTTGATGGTATTGAATGACCTTCAAACTCATGATGTCGGCTTGGAACGCCTTCATTTTTCGTGATACTCTACGCTTTGCCACGGAGTTAGTTTAGTTGCATGTCCGATTTAAACCCAACTAAAGTCATGAATTTCACTGCATACGCTCTCTCGCGTATGCCTGTTAGACACATGGCAGTTAATTATTTAATACGCTGTTGCTACCACTCTGTTCTACGGGAGAAAAAGTAGCTATTCACATAGAGTGCAAAATAATTAGCACTCCTATCTTGTTTTCATTTTCCCTAAATTTCATGATTTTCTATTTACTCACCGGTGACCTTTTCCGGCGATTGCTAATTGCCTGCGCCATGTAATTCAACTAAAATATTTTCCAATTGTTATCATGGTCATCCTGTACCTAAGCGTTTTTAATGCTGAAGTGACTAAATTCACGTAAAATATCAACAACTTCAAGTCGGGGTCAGTAAAACTGGCTGCCTGAAGTTCGACTAAATCACAAACGAAATGCGTCAAGCCCCATTGTAACTTAGTTCATTGTAACATTGTTCCTGTATGAATCCTAGATACATCATATAAGTATTATGCAAGATTAGGAAGAATGAAATTGTCTATGACGTAGTCATCCGTGACCCAATCAAGATGTGAGAGACCAGGATGAACAATATTGATGATCCTTCCTAACTCGTGCAGAGTTTTCAGCCCGAATGTGTCCTTTATGTAGATTTCACGCTCCGTAAAATTATCAATTATTCTATCGTGGCTCGTGGCTTTCACGCTGTAGTATGCGAATTCACTGTGAACAAAGCGGACAATTCTATTGAAGAACTAGGAATTAGTTTTTAAAATATCTGAAGGAACCAAATGACATAATGATGTAGGATGTAACCATCGCTAGCGTGGTTAGAGTCCATGCCAAACCAAATGTGTTTACGCTTTCTCAGACCGCGGCAGAAGACCGCGTGACCAGTGGCGTGGCGTGCTTTGCGATATATCAGTAGATCTGTTATTCAAACCTATGGAATAGGATCGATAAACACGGCGTTTGCAGCGAACACCTAAATAATCGATTCTTTACCGTGGCTTCAAATGGAGAAATATCGATAATCGATCATTCACGCCACGCTACTGCGCGTGACGTCAGTTAAGCATTGAAAGTGAGTGTAAGGATCAAGACGGCGAATCTTCTTTCGAACCTGAAAATGCGTAAATTTACTAGACGTGGACTCTAGTAACTGATCCCAAACTTTTATACTCTATTTGCGAAACTATTACAGGGCAGATGGCATGAGTGTCTTGTTAGTCATCGGTATCACCATTCGCATTTAAAGCATAATCTGAGACAATTCTTTGGCAAGAAACTTCCGCTCTCATTGAAAGAGAACGCATCTCTGAATCCTATCATGTTACCTGTCCAAAAATTGATTATCGATATTATCTTCACGTTTATAATTCTCGCGAGTAATGATTGTAACAAGATAATAGTCTTTTCGGAACTTCGTCACTCAGTTTTCATCCAGGTCTGATATTACCATCGTCTAGTTCCATCGTCACCATGAAAAAAATATAAAGAAAGTTATGGAGTTTCAAGATAAATAAAGGAAAAAAAGGTAAAGACTATTCATCAAATTTACGAATATCCTGGCTGTCGCGGTAAATTCATAACCTGCAATTTCTTAATATTCTAAAATATCGCTGATAAATCTCAGGAATACGCAACTACAGTTGAAATCTGACGAATCCCTCCTTCGTTTAGAGATCAATTCAACGCTTGCAAAAAAACGTCATCCTTGTTCTTTTTTTTTTTGTGGTCGATGAATTTTCACGACTGACGACGATGAGAATCAACCCGAAAAATCAAGATGAAGAGGGGAAAAACTTACCCACTCTTCCACGGATACAGCACCAAATCATTCGGTCCTGTGATGGTGATGAGCTTCCTCAGTTTGACGAAAGCGTTCTTATAATCGTCACTTCTTTCATGGGAGACCAAGTTGTTGTATGTTGAGAGGAAGGTGTTGTATTTTAAATGCCTTTCTTGTTGGAACGGGTCGTGCCACATGTTGGCAAGCGAAAGATAATTCTGAGCAAAAAGGTCGTAGGCAACGTTTGACGTATATCCCAGGAACGACCCCAGCTCAAGAAATTCATACATGAACTCGTTGAATCCTACGAATCCTGCGGGATAAATGAAACATGCTGCAATTACTAGATTCAGCTATAGTCTATAGTACATCTTAAATACTACGTGAGGAGCTATTGGTTGCTTAAGAATGTATTTCTTTCGATGCTCTAGTGAAAATACGCCGCAAGTTCACGTAATTCTAATTTTGGTGATTCGCTAGCAGATTATTCGTAATGAAACTGACGTGTCATTCCGTTTTTCGCTTTTTAAACTTATTCTTTTAAATAAAATATCCCTTAAATACATATACTTTAAATATTTGAAAAAATAAATAATCTCCAGCCAGGGCCAGATTAACCTTCTTGCCGCCCATGGGCCGCCGCCTGTATTTTGCCGCCCTTTTCTCATCCGTTTTATAACATCAATATAAACCATCAAGTGAACGCGCCGGAGGGGGAAGGCTGCATAAAACGATTTTTCTAGTGTTGGGCGTATTTTTTGCGGAAGCCCCTGTCAACACTACTAGAAAAAAGTCACGGAACTTTGCGCGAAAGTTAAGTTCCGTAAACCTACCTCTGTGTAGACAAGGCCTTCTATTTCTAAGCATTGAACGAAAAAATTATGTAAGAACAAATATAAATGTGGTTTAATAATTTTAACCTCCGCCGCGCCGCGCTGATTGCACTGTGTTTGGCGCAATGCGTAAAGTACACTTTTCGATTTCCGTTCACATTTTTGCAGCGGTGAATGCATAGCTTGAGTGCGCTTCAGCTAGAATTGTATTTCGCAAATGGGTGGTTTTTATAGGAGGAATATAATTAAACAAGTGGTTAGAAGTGGAAACAAAAGAATATGAACTATGCAAAACGATAATCCGGGTATCGGAAGTTGGCTGTTTTGAAAACGCCTTCAAATGCGGCGTGATACCTCACGCATTCCGGAGAGTTAAAATAGTTGTATCATTGCGCCTTAGAAATGCCACGGAAGATTGCTATTGAAATGGATTTCATGCACGCTGGCCTTTTCGATTTCCATTTACATTTTCGCAGTCATGAATGTGCTTAAGTGCGCTTCAGCTAGAATTGTATTTAGCAAATGGGTGGTTTTTATAGGAGGGTTATAATTAAACAAGTGGTTAGAAGTGGAAACAAAAGAATATGAACTATGCAAAACGATTATTCCGATAACGGAACTTGGCTGTTTTGAAAACGCCTTCAAATGCGGCCTGATACCTCACGCATTCCGGAGAGTTAAAATAGTTGTATCATTGCGCCGTAAGAATGTGACGGAAGATTTAAGCGGAGATAGCCTCCATGCACGCTGGGCGTGTCGATTTCCTTTGACATTTTTGCAGTGGTGAATGCATAGCTGAAGTGCGCTCCAGCTAGAATTGTATTTAGCAAATGGGTGGTTTTTCTACGAGGATTGAAAATAAACCGGTGGTACAGAATATAACAAAAGAATATGAGCTATGCAAAACGAAAATCCGGGTATCGGAACTTGGCTGTTTTGAAAACGCCTTTAAATGCGGCGTGATACCTCACGCATTCCGGAGAGTTCAAATAGTTGTATCACTACGCCGTATGCATGTGACGGAAGATTTAAATGGAAATAGCCTTCATGATTCATAATATTTGTCTAATATGGCCCTGTTCTTATTCGGTGGACTATCATTATACTAGTGCAATTTTAGCATTTCGATGGTGAAACTGCAGACATGCGTATTTTGGTTTGCGGCGTTGCAGACTTCCTGTCATACTTTATTTTCTACATGGAAAACTACGGAACGTCATCTCTTTAAAATTTCAGTGATTTTTCCTCTCCCAATGAAAAATATTTTGCGAGAACTTAAAGCTATCGTATTGGTTCGGTTTCCTCATAAAAAGTAAAATAGGAGCAGAGATTTTGAAACACCGCAACAGAGATACGCACTTTCGCAGTTTCACAGTCGATTTGAATCATCATACATTCTTTTTTCGCATAGTGTACAGTCGTAAATGAGTGTTTTGATTCCTTTGCATACGTGGTATTAAATAGAGTCTTTGAATTGTGGTCATACTAACTTACCGTACTGTCCGTCCAGAGGTCCCGCAACAGCTATGAAGTTGTCAACGTTATGTTGGGGGTAACTTTGAATGAAAGCTCGAGCCAAAATAGCTCCTTGCGAATATCCTGAGCAAATAGTGTCCAAAAGAAATAATACATACAAAGATGAAAGAATAAAACACAAAAGCAAAGGCAGTTTTGAGACCGTACATTAATTTCGTAAGAAGGTGCGTTATTCCTAGTTATGCTCGTCTTGCCTAATTTTTTCTTTCATTTTTAATTTTCCGTAAAGTTTTTTACAAGTTTTTGGACATATTTGATATAAAGGCTTTCGGCTACGGCTTAGTTCGGCTTTCGTTATTTCTCCGCCACTTGCAAGAGTTTTAATTTTCCAAATGCGTGTTTATATAAGCGCAACTAATTATTATATTTAGCGTATATCCGATGGAACAAAATTCGTCCAACAATTTGAGAATTTAAGTCTTTACCAATTACGGTGATTCCTCCTGGATGTCTGTCCGAGAAGTTTCGAAATTTTTCTCCAAAAGATCCTTTTACTTGCTTGTCAAGTGCTGTCATGCTTCTAAACCCGCTAAAATCTGCTGGTAATTCAACCATGGTGCCCGGGAATGCCTGCAAAAAGTGTGCTTATTTTGGCATATTGCCGGCTCAAATGTTTTGAAACAAAAACAAATGCAATTAGCTTCAGCAGTCAGCAGAAATAAAATGAAAGACTTCCAAGGCATAAAGAATAATTTTAATTCCTGGCTTAAAACAACGCTTCATTTGTAAATAATGACGTGTAGTTAAGTACAAAATACCATTCCGACAGGTTCAAGTTCAGGTTTATACTAGATCAAAATCTGAGATTAATGCCCAAGATCACCTCGTGAATTTCCTGAAGACCACATAAGTGAAAGAAAAGAAAATTCACCTTTCATTGTTAAGAATTGACAGAGGCCATTTTCATGTAAACTGGTACAAAAAAGGTAAAAAAAGAGCGAAATAAAATAAAATGAACCACCCGCAAGCCATTATATTTAAGAAGTCTTCGACCTGCCTTGCACCCACTTGAGCTGGACCACAGTAGTATCCCCTCTAATAATATTGTACAGGCTTTAGGTACTGACAATTAGACTTGTTTCTTATGCGCCGCTTATCTCACTTTCACGTGTGACTTTCTCCGTCGAGCAATTGACATTTATGAATGGTCTCTACATACATACTTAACTCCTTAAGGATCTGTAAAGAAACATTTTTTTCGTTGGCCATTCGATGCTTGTCTAAGGACATCGTGGTCATCCTTTTATTTTTATTTTGTGCACGAACAGAACTGCTGGAATTTCTAGATAAAAAAATTCGCATTTTAAAAATCTGTTCACTCTAGATAAATGAATCATAAGTACCTCCTGTATCCTATGTTTAAGTGGAAGCATTAAGCTAGCGTCGAACAAACCATGGACTAAAAATACAGGTTTTTTGGCTTGTAGATTGGATCCTTTTGATTGGTCGGTTTCGTTTGAATTGCTGTTGACGAGCTTGCACTGAAATATGGGAGCGTTGGTAGCCAGAGCATCTCCTATTAAGTGTCCATAAGTCGCCACAAAGAAGAGAAGGACCCACTTTTCATTGATATTTAGTTCCCTTGTATTTGCAGGTTTCTTGCTCATTCCTATCGTGGAATACGTGGATACTGTATAGTTTCTGCCAGGTCAAGTACGGAATCTATGTGGAACTAAACTTCGCGACACACCTGTCACTTCCGCGGACTGCATGCATGTGTTACTGTTTGCAGTTGGATCATTGATCATCAGCTTTTACCGCAGAGTTTCATTCCATCTTGAAATCCATTTCGCTGTTTTTATCCCCGGAATAATTAGTCGACCAAATTCGGTTTCCTGCTCATAAATAAAAAACGGAAAAGCTTAGGTAATAGAAATGCAAATAAATGACTTAAAATGCAAGAGTCAGAAAATGTAATTTTTCTTATTCTAAATGAAAAAGTATAGATCGATATGTCATTATTCTTTCATGGTGTATTGTAATATAGTCTCTATTAAAATATTAGCGGCCGTTGTATGCAGGCGCAATATGCATTTTATACGCTCACCAAAATTTTGTTTACTTTACGTCACTTTGATATTTCAGGAAATATTTATTTTACAAGCCTATGAGAAACTAAACTATCGAAACATTTTTGGAGAAATATTTTCTGAGGCAAATGCATTCTGGAAAAGCATTTTTCTCTTCTTTCCACCACATTTAACCAATTTTTCGCGATCAACGAGAAAATTTTCATCTTCAGAATTGATTAAATCCGTGATCATTTACTTCATTCGCTTTTCACACTGGCGTCCTTAAAAATTTTGGCACTAAAATTACGAACAGCGCACATTGTTAAACTGGTGATGAATAATTTACAATTACTTCTGTCATCTATAAATACGCGCACACGTTTGTGTGTTGTTGGCGACAAGTAAGTTTTGCGTTAAAATGCACATTTCTTTGAGGAAAAGTTGGACGCATCATTTAAAAGAAACCAACTGCGTTGAAAACCATGTAAAAACACACTTCTGCGTTAATTCGTTCAATTGTGCTGGAATAACCTTGTGCTCAGTTTTCTGTATCGAAACAAGCAATGTCGACGCACAGCGGCCAAACAAAACCCCCTGTACATTAGTGTTCGAAACTCACCTTTGAGTTTTGGGAGCCATGTGGCGCATCAAGCCCGATTTTTAGGCGCCATTGAAGATTTTTTAGGGGCCAAATTTACTTTTTGCCTATATTACGGCGCATTTAGTGAAAAGTTAGACGCAAGATGTTTTCGTAACAGAAGTAGTAAGTAGCTGTAACTTGGGGAAGACAAAAGCATTAAGAATGAAATCGTAAAGAATAGAAAAAGCTTTCACTTGTAGTGCTGAAAATTCTGAGTTTTCTAATTTTTAGAGGTCACGTTGGCGCAGAGTAGGGTGGAGCGTTTTTGGGCTTTTTTTTATTTTGAAAATGGACATAGTACAGTAGTTGTGAAATGGTCTAAAAATAACGCCTGAATTTTCCTGAATTTTTTCGTCAACGTTTAGGCCTCCCGGATTGACGTTGACGTCAAAATTAGCGGAAAATCCAGGTTTTTTGACGATTACGTGGCAACAATGGCAAATACGACAAAAATGCATAGAATCAGAGTTGTTGGAAATTAAATTTCCGACAAATCACTTTCTTATCGTTTTTTCTGTAAGTGCAACCGTTTTAGTGTAAAATTCGAAAACCCGTATTTTTCCGGAAAGTTGGCACAAATTCTCGTTCAGTCCGGGAGAAATACGGTAAAAATACGGGAGAAAGAGGGCTAACTCGGAACAAATTGCGTGATAGACAAGAATACCATCTTCGGGTTGGCCTGAATAACACAAAACATACAAAATGTTTTCCACGGCTCCACCGCGGACCACCCCTTAAAATTCCTAAAATTCAAAAAGGTGGCCGTGTTGAGATTATCAAGCATCAAGGTAATTTAAAATGTGCATCTCGTGTGGTATGAGGTGTCGTTTCCTATGTCTTTTTAGTCGTAAATTTCAAATATAGTGTTAAAAAAAAGCTCCTGGTCAAACGGGGTGCATCAAATCCAGGATGACGGCCAACTTTGAACGGCGGGAGGGTAGCTTAAAAAGTTTGATTAGTGTATTACATTTTAAATTGAAATTAAGGTAACGATCTCTGGATAATATTGGTTTAGCATTTTGATTAGAGGTTCAAAATTAAATTGTCTCTTATAAGACCTCATCTATGATCCGATGAATGACACCTGGTCAGGAGGCGTTAAACTGGCAATCCAGGCCGAATCCGCAGGTTACTAGGGTTTAAGATGCCGCAATGTTTGCGGTGAATTTAGATAATTTTGTTCGTAAATTTTAAATTTACAACAGAAAATGCTCCATAATCTTGCAGGGTCTCCCGATTATGGGATAAGTGGATGATTTCTAAATGTGAAGGACAGAGCAGAAAATTTCAAAGTGTGAAAGTAAAAAATCTTTGAAATAAATCTAAAAGTTTTCTTAAATGTTCACAATTAATATTACTCCTCAATAAGAGCTGAAATCGAATATGGTGACTATCTCCATATGAAGAATCAATAAAACGACACTAAAAAATAAATGTACAATTCAAAGAGAGACTGCTGAATAAGCGATATTTACATGCAATTGAGTTACCTATTACTAAAAGAAAAAGAATGAAAAAATGAAAAGATTGATGATTCATATCACCGGATGATGTTCCTCAGTATATTTTTTGAAAAGTGGTGTCGTCAACTTTTGATTTGAGAGAAAATTGATTTTTTTTTTCGCCATGATTCTCACGTGACCTAATTTGCTTTATTCACATTTCGAATAAAAAGGGTCTTGGTTCTCGGGAGGAATAAAAGGATTTTAAACGCGGATATTACTTACACGGAAATCGGTACCTTATTTTCGAAGATGTATAATAAGACATATTTTAAAATAAGACGTAATGCTAAAAGGAACTATGTTGCACGCAAACACCGTTCAGATATTGCCTTCCAGCATTATACCTACACATCTGGTTAACACTACTGCCTTTTACAGGCAGTCATCGTGGATTTGAGACACCCTGTTTGACCATTCATTTTCCACTTAATTTTTTACTTCACATTTTACCAAAATTACACAGGGAATAATACTTCACTTCACTCATTGCGTCATTATTTAACTTGCTTAAGTCCTCCCACCCTTCAAACTTATCAGTCTTTTTTGAGTTTTATGCAGCCCAATTAACCAGGTGGTATTCATCACGTAATACTGGAAATCTACGACCAAAATTACGATGAAGCAACCAAAGCATGTATCGGTTTGCGATGTTGCAGAATTCTTGGAATTTTCAAACATTGCAAACGAGATACCTGGTTTGGGAATTTCGCCGTCGATATTCTTTAAGGAACTAATACCTCACTTGACTTATTACGCGAAGAAGTGGTACTAGGATGAACTATCAGGGGGGAATGTGAGGGCATATGGGACAAACATACCCTCCTGCCGTTCAAAGTTGGCCGCCATCCTGGATTTGATGCACCCCGTTTGACCAGGGGCTTTTTTAACACTATATTTGAAATTTACGACTAAAAAGACATAGGAAACGACACCTCATACCACACGAGATGCACATTTTAAATTACCTTGATGCTTGATCATCTAAACACGGCCACCTTTTTGAATTTTAGGAATTTTAAGGGGTGGTCCGCGGTGGAGCCGTGGAAAACATTTTGTATGTTTTGTGTTATTCAGGCCAACCCGATGATGGTATTCTTGTAGGAAAAGTCTATCACGCAATTTGTTCCGAGTTAGCCCTCTTTCTCCCGTATTTCTACCGTATTTCTCCCGGACTGAACGAGAATTTGTGCCAACTTTCCGGAAAAATACGGGTTTTCGAATTTTACACTAAAACGGTTGCACTTATAGAAAAAACGATAAGAAAGTGATTTGTCGGAAATTTAATTTCCAACAACTCTGATTCTATGCATTTTTGTCGTATTTGCCATTGTTGCCAAGTAATCGTCAAGAAACCTGGATTTTCCGCTAATTTTGACGTCAACGTCAATCCGGGAGGCCTAAACGTTGACGAAAAAATTCAGGAAAATTCAGGCGTTACTTTTAGACCATTTCACAACTACTGTACTATGTCCATTTTCAAAATAAAAAAAAAGCCCAAAAACGCTCCACCCTAGCGCAGAGCCTTCATTTTTTAGGCGCCTTGACCGATTCATTAGGCGCTTTGGCGCGTTGGCGCCTGTGAGTTTCGAACACTGCTGTACATCTACACGCGAAGGGAACGTCATTGTCTTATCACAGAACTAAGAAATCACAGTAAAACTTACTTTTCGGGGGATCAAAAACTAAAGTCACCGTTGATCACGAATTTCGGCCCACGAAATAACCAAATCTCCAAACCCCGTCCCACCGCCTCAAAAAAAGTCAGAAACCGCCAATGATTTCATAGGTGAGCAGTCGTCTCGAAAACCAATAAGCACCTTCATCTATGACCATAAAAAATTACTGTATGACGCTCGGACACGTAAAATTGACTTGTGACTATTAATGGAGCTTAAGAGCTCTATTAGCAGCGCTGCGTCCCAAGAAATAGGTGCATGGGCTCAAACGAGGATGACGTCTTGCACCGGGCGTTATACGTCACGTTACGTCTCTGTGCCGGTTCCCAAGTAGCATTGTCATCTACTTTCTAGGTGACGCTCATCAAGAAAATGTCTACTTTCTAGATAGAACAATTTTCTTGAAAGAAAATAGGTATAAAGTAGATCTAGAAAATAGACATAAGGAAATAGGAAGAAAATACATTTTTTCCTTGCATTTTCTTAAAAGAAAACATTTAGAAATTGGCTAGAAAATAATTCTACTTTTAATAAATTTTCTATCTTATTTCTAAATGGGAAGTTGACAGAAAGTATCTTGAACTGAACTATCTTGAAAAATATCTGACTATGAAATAGATCTATTTCCTTCAGTTAGACTTTTGACTCGCGCAATGTTTTTTCCTTCTATTTTCTGGATAACTCTCATTTTCTTTGTTTTTTCTAGAAATTTTCTTAATATTTTTTTTTTCTAGAAAAAAATTCTATTTTGCTACTTGGGAGGAAATCATGGCTTTAAAAGTAAGAATTTTGGAAGATGCGGCAATGCGGCATTAGTGTTAACGCTGTGGTAACACTCATGGCTTTGTGTCGTGAGGTAGATTGTAGATACTGGGATTTTCTTTATAAATGGACATAAATTTGCAATCAGGAAATAAAATTGTTGGCTCATCCGTAAAAACACTAATGGCACGTACGTTGTTTTATAATTAAGCCAAAAATTGTACTTCCGAATTGCAAACTGCCAAATCTTCATTGGTGAAGGTGAATTTCCTCTCAAAAATTCTTCTTCTTTTTTTCATTATTATTTTGTCTTCTTTATTTATGTTATATTTTATCGGCATTGAAGTGTCTTATCATCAACAATTCCTTGCGACCAAATCATCCACGAAAAATATTAAATGAACGTTCTTCTTACTAAAAATAGAAGTTATGGGCACACCAATGACCCACAGTGAATTGGTCTTTCGATTATTAAAATAAAAAGGAAAAATCTTATGCTACCTGATTGTACCATACACTGGGGAAAAAACACATTGGATCTAGAGTTCAGACTCTTGAAAACATTGACAAGAAAAACGACTCTTGATTCAATCAAATTTAAGCTTAAATCAAAAGAAAATCCGCTCAAATTACGAGGCTTGGTTCTTGATTTGATTATGTAGCATCGCGTCCAAGATATTGGACTCCATGCTCATCCTTGATATACTTACCTGCTCATCTCGTCCAAGATCTTGGACTCCGTGCTCATCGTTAAACGTCTCACTTCTTTGCTTGAGCATGGAGTCCAAAAGCAAGTAGACCTCTCTTAGTTTTAAAGTTCATCATGATAGAAAATCGTATACTTCGCTTATCTAATCTAATCTGAACTAACCTAACCTAATCTAACCTAACCTAACCTAACCTAACCTAACCTAACCTAACCTAACCTAACCTTACCTAACTCAACCTAAGCAATGCACAATTTTTTTCGAAAACACATTTTCTTGTCTTTATTTCACAAAAATTTCTTAATAAAATTTTGGACCCCATGCTCCTATATTGTCGGAGAATACCTGCGTCCCACAATTTTGGACGCTATGCTCACTTCGATTTTTCGAAAAAATTATCCCTAATTAAAGTGAGCATGGAGTCCAAGATCATGGACGTGATGAGCAACCGAATATCATATAGCTGAGCATGGAGTCCAATATCATGGACGCGATGCTACATTACCCTTGATTTGAGCTTAAATCTGATTTAATCAAGAGTATTTTTTCTTGTCGATGTTTTTAAGAGTCTGGACTCTAGATCCAATGTGTTTTTTTTCCCAGTGTAGCATTGGAATCGTTTTGCAGGTGTATTAGTGACAGTAATTCACGTAGGTCAAAGCGGGAATATCTGAATAGGATGATATAAAATAGGGTGTAAAGCATCTGTAGTGACCGATGGGAGTAAGAGCACATAACCACTGATGAGGCCATAGTTCACCGCTAAACCGGAGCGCGGACAATAAACACGCAATACACAATACCGTATTAGACACAGCCCGCAAACGCAAAATTAATGGCGCGTAAAACCACTAATGAGCTTACATGCTTCGCCGATAAACTAGAGAGCCCACTTCATAATGAACTAATTTTTTATTAAGTTGCCGTCATTATCATGCTCAAAATAGTCTAGAGTAAGGCGATCCTTCGAGCGTGTTTGGAAAAATATGGTTCATTTAAAAGTATTTCGACGGCTACATTGGAAAACCACATATCTCAATTTTGATGTTTCAAAATTTCCGCCATCTTCAATTTTTTTTTTGAGAGAAATAAGCAGTAGAAAGCCTCATTGCTTAAAAATACCGAATAGTCTATCAATGGGGAAGAAAAATCAAAGAAGTTTCATGAAATTACGTCGATAAATCTGTGTTTGGAAAAATATGGTTCGTTTAAAAGTAATTCGATGGCTACATCGCAAAACCACGTACCTCTATTGCGGTGTTTCAAAATTTTCGCTCCTATTTTATTTTTTCTGAGAGAATCAAAGTAACTTCATAGTATAATTTTTGTACGGAATATTCTGCTAACAAGTAAGAAAATTCAAAGAAGTTCTCAAGAAATTACGCTGATAGTTTTTCAAAGGGAAAGTAAAGGATGACGGGATGTCTGCAGCGTCGCAAACGGAGGTTTCACACTTCGGCCATCGATTTTGCGTTAAAATGGCTAAAAATTTCATTTTGAAAATAAATTTGGCCAGATTTTGTGATCAAATGTTTCAAGTAACGTGAAGCACCATACATGTAAATTGCAAACTCTACTAATTTATTAGGTTACAATAATTGAACGCCAAACTAATTGGTAATACAGAAAATGCTCAATTTTTTGAACAAAAACTGCGCATGCTTTGCGTTAATTTGCCCGTACTAAAACTGACAGAGCTTTCGCAAGATCGAGACTGAAGTTTCATACACCTATCAGACAGAAACCCTGCATTTTCAGTCAATTCTCCTTTCTTGAATATTTTGTGCCTCGAGTAGCAGAGGTCGTTACATGCCGCACGAAAATCGTCAAATTATCTCGATTATGGAGCAAACTGTTCAAATTGCATATTCTACTATTTGAAGGCGCTTACATTATCGCGATATTTCGCGTGGAGTAAATACGGAAAAAGTTACGATATAGAGTTGCAGGTTGCAAAATTATAATTTCTTCTCATAACGTCTAGTGAGGGGCTTGGAGGACAGGACGCATAAGTGCAGTTTTTGCTGTTCCGAGAAACACGTGTTTGAAGCTTCGAAATTACATGGATTCGTGTGGCGGAAAAAAAGTTCGAACTAACTTTTTGATTCTTAAAAATTGGAATTTGGAAGCAAATTTTTGACGGAATATTCCGTCTAATAACTATAGTTTAACTTGAAATCGTTAACATCTCAATTTTTCAAAAACTTCACTCATGCGCCCTGTCCCCAAAGCTTCTCGGATCTGATTTAAAGCGCAATGGACTGCAATTTATCGAGCTCTGAGTATGAAAAGTGTAAAAAGTACAGTACTTAGAGAAGGTCATTCGTAGTATGATTCAGTATTAGTGAAGGAAACGGGAATACCCTGCGATTGAGGTGATCAGACTTTTTTTTGCCGCTTGAGGAGTATATTTTTATTCAAATTTTTCTCTTAAAACGTTATTACATTGGGTAACACTGCGCGTTGAGTCGGTCGATTGCCTGGAATAGGATGATTACAAGTAGATGCTCGGGTTGTAGAGGGTGCGGGCTTTGCAGTTGTAGTTGTCACGAAGGATGACTCCATACGGGTTGATATTATTCTTTTCCAGCTCGGAAACGATGTAGTTCTTCTGGTCAGCGTTGAGTTTGTAGTCTTGGGCAAGGACAACGACGATCGGGTAGTTGTCGACGTAGTTCAGGTACTGGAAGTTGTTGCAGATAACCAAGATGACAATGTTTTTCTTGGGGCAGTAAGATAGGACACCAGCAGAGTAGGTAAGATCGTTGTTCCACGCATCGTAGGGGACGAAGTCAGGGTCCATAACATCCTTGTATCCGAAGTAGGTTCTGTCGAAAGGCTCCCTGGTGTAGCACCTGTAGACTGGCGCATTGTATCCATTGTATGCGCGGCCGATGAAGTTCTCAGTGTAGTCGTAGGCCTGCCTGTTGGAGTTCCATGCGTATTGGACCATGGTGTAGCCGCCGAAGTCCCCTGAGTACCTGGAGTTGGGGATGAATCTGATGAAGGTGCATGATCCGCACTGGGGGACTCCGTAGGTGAAGTAAGCGTCGCAGAATTCGTAGTCATTGCGCCATCCGAAGACGGATCCACTGGCGGTTGAAGCGGCGACGACCCATTCCTTGTCGACCAGGTAGTTTCCTTTCCAGTCGTTGTAGAGGTTGTAGTTGGCGCAGCGGCGGGTGGCGGTTGGGACGGCCAAAGCCACACCGGCGAGGACAAGGAAAGCCAATAATTTGTGCATCGTGATCGTCGGGCCTTTTGCCTGCTGTGCTTGGACAACTGCAGAGGGAACTGATGATTTCTCTCCGAGACCCTGGAGCTTTTATACGAAAATTTCGATCATAATGCAGGGACGTATTTTGACGGCGGAGAAATTAATGGCACATCTTGTGTTTGGACGTTGCAACTGGGCGAGTCGGGCAAGCTTTATTTATCGCAAAATCTGTTGATGGGTCACTTGACGCAGGTCTCGGTGTTTAATCAAGTTCGACTAGGTGTCAGCAATCAGTGTCAAATCTGAGGTGAAACACTTAGCTTGGGGAAATTGCGGGAACTGAAATACTTGTTATAAATATTCTTTGATGCAGGTAGATTTCACGCAAGGTCTATTTAATTTTTTTTTATCGGCTTTAAAGTTTCTTATCATCAACTGTTCATTACGACAG